TTTTTCTTTACCTCAGTTTTATCTGTAAATGGAGATAATGGCAGTTTTCTTCACCACTTCCTTCTGTGCTGAGCTGGAAATGAAGTAATCCTCATAAAATAACCTGAAGCTGGGTGCCGATGGCTCATGCCTGTAATCCTAGCTACTTGGGAGGCAGAGATCTGAGGTTCAAGGTTCAAAGCCAACCCTGGGAGGAAAAGCTAGGAGACTCTTAACTACAATTAACCACCAGAAAACAGGAAGTGGCACTGTGGCTGTAGTGGTTGAGCGCTTACCTTGAGCTGAAGAGCTCAGGGACACCACCCTGGCCCAGAGTTCAAACCCCATGACTGACAAAAAAACAAACAAGCCTGGCACATGTAGTAAATGTGTGTGTGTGACTAGTTTATGATTACATAATGAGAGGTCACTGTCACAAGAGTGTTAGAAATTTCATTTCTGGTCCCCATTCAACTATATGTTTGTGAGTAAATTTCCTTTTTATATTTTTGGATACAGTCAGGGCCTTATATTTGCTAGGCAGGAGCTCTGTCATTTGTTTCATGCCCCATCTCTAAATGTCCCTTTCTTGACACCAGTTTTATTTTGTTTGTACTATACTGAGGATTGAACTCGGCGTCACACTTGGTTGGCAACCACTCTACCACTTGAGCCATGCCTCTGCTCTAGCATCCTTTTGCATTGGTTATTGCAGGGTAGGGTCTTGCTTTACCCTTAGGCTGATTTGGGCCTCAGTGCTTCTACTTCTGCTTCCTGATGTTGCAAGTAGCTAGGATTATAGGCTTGAGCCATTTTGCCTGGCCTAGGACATATGTTTTCTTTAGCCCATTGCTCTAAACTTTTACTGGAAATAAATTCGGATTTACATAGGAAACGTATAAATATGACACAGGAAATAGAATGAACTCTTGAGGACTCATAGTAGATAATATAAAATAGTACACTTACTGTGGAAAACAAAATGGTTCCTAAAAATAGTAACTATAAGCTGGGCTTGGTATATATATCTATAATCTAACACTGAGGAGGCTAAAGTAGGCAGATTGCAAATTTGAGGCTTCGTCTACATAGTGAGTCCAAGGCCAGCAAGTACCTGTCTCAAAAGTGGGGAGAGGGCTGGGAATGACCAAGTGTAAAGTGTAGACTTGATAGCCCAGAATACCTAAGACTTGGTTTGATCCCTAGCACTGTAGAGTTGGCAAGGAGTGGGGGCGGGGGGGGGAGGATTAACATAGAATTGCCACATGAGCGAGCAGTCCTGTTTCTTGGTATCTATCCAAAAGAATCAAAACAGATACTTGTATATACATTTATATAGCAGCATTATTCACAATATCAAAATGTGGGACTGATCCAAGTATGACTGAGCAAAATGTGATAAGATACAATGGAATATTATTTAGCTTTTAAAAGGAATAGAATTCCAACCTAGGCCATGATGTGGATGAGCTTTCAAGAAATTATGCTAAATCTCAATTGAAAAGGACATATATTTTATAGTTCTACATATATAAGATGCCTATAATAGCCAACTCAAACAAAAAATAGAAATGTGCATATAAAAGCTAAGGATAATAGTTTTTAGCTCAGAATGATGAATAGGAAGTATTTCATGCTAGTAAACTATTTTGTGTATAATACAAAACATGTTTTTTGTTGTTTTTGATTGTAGGGCTTGAACTCAGGGCCTTTGGTCCTTAAACTTTTTTTTTCTTCTCAAGGCTCTACCACTTTGAGCCATAGTTCCACTTCTAGTTTTCTGGTGATTAATTGTAAATAAGAGTCTCATGGACTTTCCTACCCTAGCTAGCTTTGAACCATGATTCTCAGATCTCAGCCTCCTGAGTAGTTAGGATTGTAGTTGTGAGCTACGAGCATTCAGCTCTCTGTATTCTCTTTTTTCTTTTTCTTTTTGGGTCCGGTTGTGGGGCCTGAACTCTGGGCCTGGGCGCTGTCCCTCAGCTCTTTAGCCCAAGGCTAGCACTCTACCACTTAAGCCACAGCGCCACTTCTGGATGCTTTTTTTTCCTGTTTATGTGGTGCTGAGGAATTGAACCCAGGGCCTCATGCATGCAAGGCAAGCGCTCTACCACTGAGCCACCTTCCCAACCCTCTCTGTGTTTTCTTAATCCAGATTTATCTAGTGTAATATTTTACCCCATCTGTCCTTGGATTTTTGTTTTGTTTTGTTTTTTACCTTTTTTTTTTTTTTGGTTGGTCATGGGGATTGAACTCTGGGTTTGGGTGCTGTCCTTGCACTCTTCAGCTCAAGGCAAGCGCTCTATCGCTTGAGCCAC